ATCCTCGAGTCAAAGCCTGTATCCTTATCTTCATTCAGACTAATCATTGATACAAGACCGACACATACTTCGTGCTTAACACACGTCTTAATACCTGACAGCGAGTCCGAGGCTCGCGAAACGTTCGTCGAACGCGTTAGTAGAGCGAGTTAACGAGCGAGTGGAGTCGGGTAAACGAGTTTTTAAGTGAAAATGTGCAATTCGCGGTATTCGTCGACGCAAACGCGTGTCGGCCACGTCGACTTGGAATGAATTAGACCGGAGCGGCTCTTTCGAGCGGCTCGGCTGTCGAGCGTGGAATTTACGATTCGTCTGTTGCACGTGGAGAAGCCGCACGGAGAGAGAACGAACGGTAATTTCGCGGGCAGCGGGATGCTTCCAAGGACGTTCCCTGTGGCGACCAAGTGCGATAGACCAAACAGGAAAATCAGATTCAACGACCGCTATTCGCAGCGCGCCATCACCTCTACGATATTCTTTCCGCGTTGAAAACATACATTATGTAGGCATCAGCGCGTTCTACGTTCTACAATCTTCTAAATCGCCACAAAAATATGCATAGGTCATTATAACTAAATTTCAGCTGTTCCTGCACAAAGAGAATTTTCTCTTAGAATTTACTCTAAAAATCATGATAATTTAAATAAAAATATTAATATATCTATCACAATATGTTCAATTAATTTTATTATGTATATATTTAGCTGTTCCTACACAAAGAGAATTTATCCTGAAAATCATGGTAATTAAATAAATATTAATATCTACCACAATAAAAATAAAATTATGTAATTAAATAAATATTAATATCTACCACAATAAAATATAAAATACGTTCGATTAATTTTATTATGTACATATTTAGTTGTCCCTACACAAAGAGAATTTTCTCCTAGAATTTATCCTAAAATGATGATAATTAAATTTAAAAATATTAACCACAATAAATATAAAATATGTTCGATTCATTTTATTATGCACATATTAATGTATATTTTTAATGTGGTGAATATTAATCAGAGAAATTCTTATAAAATTTTTGCAAAATACTATATTTTTCTACGATTACCATAATTTTCAGGGAAAATTCTAAGATAAAATTCTCTCCGTGTATATTTACAACTTGAAATTTTGTTATCGAGCCTAAATTTTAGCTATGATAATTAATATTTTTAGCTATAGTTTGATGGAAAAGTCTCTGTTTAATTGCAGCTAAAAAATATTCGCTATCATAACTAGAATTTGGCATAACTAAATTTCAGGTATAATATAAGGATAACTAAAGTTTAGTTATTGTGGCCAATTTTTTCCCGTAGAAATACATGTACAAAATATAAGAATTTTAATAGAAACGTATAATACGAACAAAAATAAATTTTATTGTTAATTTATATTTTATATAACGTGTGATAGTTTTTCTCTGAGCGATATTTCCGGCGAATTCTAAACGTTTCTTTCTGAATCGCCTCAAGTTTAGGAAAATAGGTTCGAAAAAAGTGGGTCAAAGCGTTTAGAGTATACGTGATGCAGTTTTACAAAAATTTGTTTCCGTTTAAGTTTTAAAATATTAAAACGATAATACAAATATATGTATTATGTGAAAACATCGAATCGATCTTTTTTTCTATTTTTACTGCAATATTTATATAATTTAAAACTTTTCTACTCGACTAATATTATACTTTATCATATTTATATATAATTAATAACATTATATCGATTATTAATTTTATATTGCAAAATTTACTATTTTCTCTCTCTTAATTATTATTTTTAGTGCTATTTTTCCTTGTGTAAATATATCGTTTTTAATTAATATTTTTAATAAAATCACGAGCGAGGATAAAATAATTCAGAGATGAAATTTATTGAGAAATATCAAACACGCTTCGTCTTTTTGACCCACTCGAGGAATTTTCTCCTTTAGCGTGCGCGGGAAAATAAAATTAAATTTTCGCGTGTGAAACGCGATCAATTTTGTATCATGCAAAATTATCCGACACGATTTATCCGCAGAGGTAGCACGCTCCGCAGGGAGAGACTAACTTGTCTCTCGTCCTTACTTCCTGGCTCATCAAAGTTGCACATATCGCGATTCAAGCTGCATCTCTCGGACGTACAAACTACGGAAATATAATCTTGCAACGCGCGACTCTGTGCGCGTTTCAGTTTCGTTTCCCGTGAATGCCAAGTTTGCCTTCAAAGTTCAACAGAGTACGTAAACAATAAGGATATAATTTTGTGAGCTTATATATCAAGTAACAAAAAGAATAGTTTCATTTTCCATTAAAATTGTTTTCAGACAAATTCTAATTACTAATGAATTATTTAAGACTGTTTGATTACACTTTAAAAATATTTGTTGGCTTGACTAAACCTTTCAACTAAATATTATTTTGTTAATTGAACATAAAAATATTTCAATTAAATGTGACATTAAATCTAACAAAACGTATATTTGGTTTAAATACTAATATATGTTCAATTAACAAAATAGTGATTTAGTTGAAAGGTTTTTAGTCGAGTTAACAATTTTTACAGTGTATATGTATTTTTTAATTTCACATGTTTAGCGAAATTATTATCAAGATTCCAATTAAATTATTTAAAAAATTATAATCAAATAAATTTAAATATAAAAAATCACACACATTTTTTTTATTTATACACTGAAAAGAATTGTTAGCTTAACTAAAATTTTCAACTAAATATCATTTTGTTAATTGAACATAAAAATGTTTAAATGAAATACAATATATAAAATTTAACAAAACGTATATTTGTTAAGCCAAGTATATTAACAAAATAGTGATTTAGTTGAAAGGTTTTTAGTCAAGTTAACAATTTTTACAATGCATTTTTTAATTTCACATGTTTAGCGAAATTATTATCAAGATTCCAATTAAATTATTTAAAAAATTATAATCAAATAAATTTAAATATAAAAAATCACACACATTTTTTTTATTTATACACTGAAAAGAATTGTTAGCTTAACTAAAATTTTCAACTAAATATCATTTTGTTAATTGAACATAAAAATGTTTAAATAAAATACCAAATATATTAACAAAATAGTGATTTAGTTGAAAGGTTTAGTCAAACTAACAAATCTTTTTTTCTGTGTAATATAAAATAAAATAGATTAATATTCGTGTAAAAAAAAAAAAAATGATAAAATACACTCAGAATTTATTCAGTAGATGCGCGATGTTAAAAAAAAATCTTGGCATTCTGTCTTACAAAGAGAAGAGACTTGATTTAAAATAAATAGATTTATGTAAACGCGCGGGTAAGTATACTTTTATCTCGCAATCGCTATAAGAGATTTGATTTTATCTAAAGAATATCGTTCAAAGGAACGCTTCCTTAATTGCCTCGAGTGGCGTAATAACGATCTATCCGCAATAGATACTCGTGCATATAATGATAAGTATCATTACACGGCATAGCGGGTAAGCGATACGAAGAGATACGCTTTATACAGAATCGTAGCTTCCATCGAGCTTGATAAAGCTATTTCGATGATATAATTCCAAGTCCTGCATCAAGCTCGAGAGAGCTGTCTACCGCATGATAACGTAATTTCAAGTAGTGTAAATCCAAGTTGAGCCTCCGCGCATATATGTATATACGTGATAGTAATTTACATCGACAGCAAGTTATACACATGTAAAACGCACTGATGAATAATTTATGTAAACAACATCTGCATCCGTTTCGTAACAGAGCGTAACAGTCATTACAAAATAATGTGGAAATGAAAATTGTTATTAAAAATCGATGCAACGTATATATAACGTGAAAGCTCAATCTTTAAAGTTCTTCAAAATAGAGAGTCCGATGTTGCACTCTGAATCCATGAATTGAAAAAAAAATATATATATATCGTTCGCTTCCTCCCTTTTAAATTGAAGTTTGTATACCAAGGGATTAAATACAATTTAGAAAATAGAATATTGCATTTGAAATGCAATTCGCTGCAACGATGCTCTTTCATCGAAGCGATATCTCAAAAAGTAACAAGGTTACTTTCTTGACTAGTTGTGAGAATACTGTAGTTTGAAAGTTTTTCAGGTTCATTTCACGTACAAACGAAAAGTAAAAAGGTCAAATGACGTTAAAAGAATTCAATTATTTCTTAGTTAGACGCTCCAATTTATATATAAATATCAAATACCGTTTATATTTCATTTTTCGACATCCAAATCAAATCGAAAGATTGAAATAAATTTAAGCGGAGCGTACAAAAAATATTATTTTTTTAGACCTTTCCAACACTAAAAAAATTGTTAACTTGGCTAAACCTTTTTTTATTAATTGAACATATAAAAATATTTAAGTCAAATATAACATATTAAATCTAACACAAAAAAATATTCAAGTATTTTTTAGACCTTCCTATCACTAAAAAATTATTAACTTGGCTAAACCTTTTATTAATTGAACATATAAAAATATTTAAATCAAATATAACATATTAAATCTAACACAAAAAAAATGTTAACTTGGCTAAACCTTTTATTAATTGAACATATAAAAATATTTAAATCAAATATAACATTAAATCTAACACAAAACGTACATTTGACTTAAATACTAATATATATGTTCAATTAAAAAATTGGTAATTTAATTGAAAGGTTTAGTCTCAAATTAACAAATTTTTTCTTATATCAAATATATTATTAATTTGAAATAAATGATTCATTCGATAGTATTGAAATAAATACTTATTCGAATGAAATAAATATTTTTGCCAGTGTACGTTCAACGATTTAAAAATTATAATTCGTTTAAATGTCAAAAAGATCCGTCTCACAATTATATATCCTTGAAAACAAATCTCATATGACATTTCATTATCCGATATCAGTATATAGGAAGCGAATTACAAAGAGCTTTTTCCCTTTTTACCCTACCTATACACTCCACTCTCCCTCCTTTACCCTGGCTGAATTCTCTATTGCAAACGTTAAGAGCTATACTTCGTTACTCACTCAGTAATGCGCTTATACGAGGTCTGCGCGAAGTCGATGAACTTGAAATTCTAAAAATAAATTCATTTCTAAAAACAAACCGCGGGTACGTTAAGTCGCGAGGACGAAGGATCTCGCTCGATTCGCCGGAAAATCAGCCGGTGAACACGTAGGAAAAATCTTCTATTGATATGGAGATTTTTATCGACGCAAAAAAACCTCGCAAAAAAAAAATCACGATCACCGATAAAAATTTCCGGGACACAAGATCCTCCTGGCTCAGAATTGAGATAGCGGCGCGATATTAGAATCTAAAATCATATCAGAGAAAGAAGGGATGATCTCGAATATTAATTCGAGAGAGGCTCGGGATTTAAGGGCGCGATAAATCGCCGCGCGAAGATTGCGGCCGATATCAATCGGTGCGAAACGCGAACTGTCAACTGTTGCCCGAACAGTAAGTACGGAGGAGCGGAGACACCGCGAATGCACCGCGGCCGCGCTCGTCGACGAACTGCGTGGCCGAGATAGCCGCGCCGCGCCACGCCGCGCATCGCGCAGCGCGCAACCACCCCTGCTGCCGGCCCCAAATCCGGCTTCCATCCCTTACACCGCGGTTACAACACACGCTTTTGTGCCTGCGCGCGTATGGGTGCGACCAAAAAGCACTCTTTCAAACGTAATTAGTATTTTTTTTTAATTATTTATCGCCAATCTTGGGAATATCTCGTAAATATGTAAATTTCATTTAAAAAATTTGTAAAGATGTAAACATGTAAATTGTGCGATCAAAGAGCATTTTTGAAAAGAAATTTATATATTTTTTGAAATAATTTAATAATTTTTATTGAATCTTGGAAATATAGCTTGTAAAGAAAATTTTACAAGAATTTACAAAATATTGTAAATATTTTGTAAAATTCATGTATCAAAATGTGAAGATGTAAATATGTAAATTGTGCGATCCAAGAGCATTTTTTAATTAGCATTTTTGTAAAATAATTTTATTATTTATCGCCAATCGTGGGAATATCTTGTAAATATGTAAATTTAATATAAAAATTGTAAAGATGTAAACATGTAAATTGTGCGATCAAAGAGCATTTTTCAAAAGAAATTTATATATTTTTTGAAATAATTTAATAATTTTTATTGAATCTTGGAAATATAGCTTGTAAAGAAAATTTTACAAGAATTTACAAAATATTGTAAATATTTTGTAAAATTCATGTATCAAAATGTGAAGATGTAAATATGTAAATTGTGCGATCCAAGAGCATTTTTTAATTAGCATTTTTGTAAAATAATTTTATTATTTATCGCCAATCTTGGGAATATCTTGTAAATATGTAAATTTCATATAAAAATTGTAAAGATGTAAACATGTAAATTGTGCGATCAAAGAGCATTTTTCAAAAGAAATTTATATATTTTTTGAAATAATTTAATAATTTTTATTGAATCTTGGAATATAGCTTGTAAAGAAAATTTTACAAGAATTTACAAAATATTGTAAATATTTTGTAAAATTCATGTATCAAAATGTGAAGATGTAAATATGTAAATTGTGCGATCCAAGAGCATTTTTTAATTAGCATTTTTGTAAAATAATTTTATTATTTATCGCCAATCTTGGGAATATCTTGTAAATATGTAAATTTCATATAAAAATTGTAAAGATGTAAACATGTAAATTGTGCGATCAAAGAGCATTTTTGAAAAGAAATTTATATATTTTTGAAATAATTTAATAATTTTTATTGAATCTTGGAAATATAGCTTGTAAAGAAAATACAAGAATTTACAAAATATTGTAAATATTTTGTAAAATTCATGTATCAAAATGTAAGATGTAAATATGTAAATTGTGCGATCAAAATGCATTTTTTAAAAGAATTTTTTTTTTAAATTTATATTGAATCTTGGAAATATATCTTGTAAATATGTAAAATTCATATATCAAAATTTAAAAATGTAAATATGTAAATTGTGCGATCAAAGTGCATTTTTTAAAAGAATATTTTTTAATAATTTAATAATTTATATTGAATTTTGGAAACATATCTTGTATAAATATGTGAATTTCATATATCAAAATGTAAAATGTATAAATATGTGAAATACACATATCAAGATACGTAATTAGTTTACGTAAAATTAGTTTAATTATATATTTTTTTAATCATTTAATAACTTATTTTGGATTTTGTAAATATCTTCTAAATATGTGAAATTCAACATATCCTTCAAGATGCAAAAATAATTATCCGTAAAATTAGCTCAATTATAATTTTTTCTAAAACTTTAATAATTTATCTTAATAATCTTGTGAATATTTTGTAATGTAAAACTCATGTATCAAAATAAAAATACGTGAAGATATAAAGATGTGAATTTGTGAAATGCACATATCATCAAGATATGTAATTATACTTTAGATGTAAAATTACTCGATTATCATTTTTTTCAGTAATTTAATTTAGATTCTGTAAAGAGAAATCTCGTAAATATGTGAAATTCAGAAATACTTTCATCAAGATAAGTAAATAGTTTGCATATAAAATCATAATAGTTTACTTATAACTTTAATAATTTAATAATTTCAAATTTTTTAAATATCTTGTAAATAAGTGAAATTTAGAAACACATGTAATCAAGATTTAATTAATTTACACGTAAAATTAAGTCCATTATAATTTTAATAATTTAATTTGAAACTTATAAGATCTTGTAAACATGTGAAATTCAGAAATACATCATAAAAATACGTAATTGCATAATTAATTCGGTTATAATTTTTTTAATAATTTAACTCGAACCTTGTAAATAATTTGGATAAACATGTGAAATTAAAAAATGCATATAATCAAAATGCTTAATAATTTTACATGAACTAGCTCGATTATCGTATCTGAAAGGTCTAGTTTCGAAAAAGTTTAATAGTTTGTACGATAAAGTACAAAATGAATGAAGTTACAAGAATGAGACAACTTTTTAAAAATCGAGATTTCTCTTTCGAGGCACATATTTATAAATATAATAAATATTTATATCGATAAAAGAAATTTCAATTTTTTATAAATGGACTTGTCTTTTAAACAACTCTCATTTATTCATTTAGTTGCAAATTTAAATAAGCATGACATTATTAAGTCTTTTTTTCTTACATTTGACGAATCTTATTGTCTTTTGAATTTTCATTTCTCGTAATCGTTATTATTATCATTAATCGTCGTCTTTATCATAGTATATTCATCATTACATTCTTCCTTTCACCCTCTTTTCCACTTACTGCTCCACTTTCCTTAAATATCTGAAGTTCCTTAAGTAAATATCGTACCTCTTGGGAAATAACTTCTTTTTTCTCTTTTGTGAGGAAAGATGCATACTTGATATTGCTAGGTCTGATCTTATGAGAAAAAAAGTTTTAAATCTTGCAGTCTTGCATTCTACACCCTCTTTCGTTTTATATTTCGGAATTTCAGAGATTATTACGAAGAAATATTACGAGATTAAAACATTTATCACTTTGAATGCGAAGTTCAAAAGACATTTTTATGATAATCATAATTTCTCATTATGTCATGATCATAAATACGTAAATATTCTCATCTTTTATTTTTCCATTTTAAGAATTATATTATATCGTCAAAGTGGAGGTTTGTTAAAATTGGTACGCAAAATATAAACAATAATATTTCTGTTTTTTCAGTGTATCTATCACAATAAGATATAAAATATGTGTTCAATTAATTTTACTACACATATTTTTTATTGTAATAAATATTAATCAAAGAAACTCTTATAGAATTATTTCTATGTATTTTTTAATAAGTATTTTTAATAAGTTTTTTAATTAATATTTTTAATAAATAATATATGTTTAATTTCATTCAAATAAGTATAGGGGAATTTAAAAATAATTTTATTGCAGCTGATATCAGAGAAATTCTTATAAAATATAATTTTACTATGCACATAGTAATACTTTTTATTGTGATAAATATATTAATCAGAAAAACTCTTATAAAAGACATTTTTATGATAATCACAATTTCTCATTATATGTATTATAATCATAAATACGTAAATATTCTCATATTTTATTTTTCTATTTTAAGAATTATATAATCGTCAAAGTGGATGTTTGTTAAAATTGGTACGCAAAATACAAACAATAATATTTCGCCTCGTGAATTATATAATCTATCATTTTTTTATTGTAAATATCGCAATGCTTTCCTCCGGCGCAAATACAGAAATAAATTGAAATTTAAAAAAAACGAAATAAAAAAATTGAAATCAATAAATCCTTGAAAAAAAAAAGTTCAACGGATTTATCGCAGTTTTAACAGTGCAAATTATAAAAACGCATTTGCAGGAGCAAGTCGCGACAGGAAAAGAAATAAAAGAAAACATATATATATATATATATATATATATATATATATATATACATATATCGATATATATATATAGATATATATCGATATATATGAATATATATATATATATATATGAAATCAAACAAAGGGATTAAACCGCTTTGAAAAGTGATAGAATCTGAGCGAATATATCGGGGAATTTCCTCTGGAGGAAAACGCCGGTGGCAAGCGTTTCTCGTGCACACGTTAATTGCACACCTTTATTGTTCTCCAATCGCGCATATACGACACGGCTGTTTTTACTCATGCGAAAGATGGGTAATATGCACGTTCTGTGCAAGACACACGAGTTATGTTCGAATAAGCGATTAATTATCTAACGCCGGAACGATCCTCCTCTTCTCTCGAAACGATACTCGATAATATAATATATATATATATATATATATATATATATATATATATATATTTATCGACTTGACTTTTAAATCGTATTTTGAACTAATTATAGATATAATATATATAATATAATATAAAATATATAATATAATGTAATATATATTATATATATATATATATATATATATATATATATATATATATATATTTATCGACTTGACTTTTTAATCGTATTTTGAGCTAATTGTAGATGAATCATCACTGCTATAAATATATTACATAGATTTTCAATAATTGACACAATGATTGATAATTACTGTCACATATGTGCATATGATGATTAATGTAAAATTATTCGCATTTTAAATATAAACGCTAATCTTCGTATCGCTTTTGCGAGCAACAGTGAATTTTTAGAGATTAAATAAAAACTGTCCAGGGATTTGTCGATTTCGCTATGCATTTTTATCTGAAAATGACGCACATACATATACATATAGGTATGCATATGGTACATAATTAGAATTTATCTTGAAAATTGTGGTAATCGTGAAATAATATATGATATTGGAAGAATTTTATAAGAGTTTCTCTAATTAATATTCACTACAATAAAAATATTAATATACTGGAAAAAAGAATTTATTAACTTGACTAAACCTCTTAACTAAATATTATTTTGTTAATTAAATATATAAAAATATTTAAATTAAATGTAA